GAAGATGGCTGAGTACGCAAGAGTGTTTGCTGTGCAAGCACGAGGACCTGAGTCCAAATCCACAGCACCCATGAGTATGGCCGGATGTGCCTAACAACCCCAGCAACAGGCAATAGGCAGAGCCTTAGAGTTCACTCCCCAGCCAGCCTGGCTGAAATGCCAGGATGGGAAGGATGAGCTTCAATGAGAGACTGAAAAAAAACAAGAGGAAGACACCAGACATCCTGCTCTGGCCTCTACACACACACACACACACACACACACACACACACACACACACACACTATTCAGTAGACACACACACACACACAATAAAAATGAAAAATGCTATTCAACTTTCTGAAGAAATAACCCTGCATTTATGTTATGAGTTAACCAGATTTTTTAAAGAGGAAATTACTTTCTTTTTCTTTTTTCTTTTTTTTTAAAAAAAAAAAACTGAATTGCTCATTTAGTTGTTTGGGGGAAAAGGCATTGGATAGAAGAGATTTTTGCATAATTGGCCATCTGTTTCAGTGTGATGATCACAATAGTCTGCACCCAGCCAACAAAACCTTCACAGGCTTCATTCACTTCTTCCCTCAGGGACCACAAAACAGCGGGGCCCACAACTGTCATTTCACAACAGCATCTTATTTTTGCATAGTATTCAGTGTACATAGTGATGGTCTCATAAGGATATTTTCATTCAGGTGCATCACGTACTTGGACCACAGTCGTTTTTTATACTCTCCCCTTCCTGCTGGTCCCTCTCCTTTTCCCAGACAGTCTAGTTTCTACTTTTATGATATATACATGAATAACTACACACACATACACATATGTGTATGTATACACATACATACATACATATAAACTAGGAAAAACATATGAAAGACAGCATGCACTATTTCTCTGAGTCTGTCTTCTTTCACTTATGATGGTCTCCAGTCACATTTCCTTCAAACATAATTTCATTCTTTACAGCTGAATAAAACACGTGTTGAATGAGTCTAGGCAAACTGCTTAACTTTTCGGAGCCACACTGTCCATCTATAAAATGAAATGAAACCCAGTGAGGATGGGGGCCTGGCATTGTCCATCAAATGCCTAGCACAGCTGGGGACACACGGGCCTCAGGAAGTTCACCTGCATCTGCCCCACCTGACGTCAACTTCCTGCTCCAGTGCTGTTTCTGTCCTCACGGTCACTTCTCCAGACTTAAGTAGGGCTTCTGGGCTAACTATCCGTTCACTTCTCTTATGGGGGAGATTCTTTTGTTTTGTATACACTAACATCTCAAAAATTATTTTACATCGCCATGTCTCCTACTAGGTGAACTGGGGAGGGAACAGAATCTCCATGGTGTGTTTTTTTGTTTCGATTTTTGTTTTTTGAGACAGGGTCTCCCTATGTAGCCCTGGCTGACCTGGAACTCACTATATAGACTAGGCTGACCTCGAACTCATAGAGATCTACCTCACCACAGTGCTGAGACCACCAGCATGCACCACCATACCCAGCTTGTTTTGGTTTTGAGACAGGGTCTTGCTATGTAGCTGAGGCTGGCTTCAAATTTGCTATGTAGCCCAGTCTGGCCTCAAACTCAGGATCCTCATGCCTCAGGCTCCAGAGTGCTGAGATTATGGGTGTGTGTCACCATGCTTGGCTTCCTGGTATTTGTGTAAAGGTTTTGGTTTGGGTGTTGCTTTGTTTTGTCTTAGTTTATTTAGTAGGCAGTGAAGCGGGCAGGGCAGTAACAAGAACTGCAGGCTGAGCGTTTTCTTAAGCAACTTCTGATTCAAAGTTATCTGCTGGGCTCTTCATGCCCTACAATGGCAACCAAATTTATTCCTCGACAGTTTCATACACGTATACAACACAATTCAGGTGCACTCTCCCCCACCCTCTCCTACTCTGCTCTCACCTCTGCCAAGCACCCCCGACAATTCTCCCTCTCCCTTTCATACTTTTTGTGTTTAGCAAATGCTGCCCCCATGAACATGGGTATGGAGCTATCCACTGGAGCCTGGGCAGCTCACTGGTAGTAACAACACTGAAGACAATGACCACACCCCCCATCCTCAACTCCCTACCCCCCACAGTCCTCAGCAAGCCAGTGGTTTTCCAGGAAGAGGCAGATCACCAATATTTTATCCTGCATATACTCTTTTTTTTTTTCCACATTTTTTGAGGGGTGTCAGTGTGCCATGGAGCACATGTAGGGTTAGAGAACAACTTGTGGGAGTCACTGTTCTCTTTCTAGCATACAGATTTTGGGGATCCAACTCAGATGGTCAAGTTTAGTGGCAAGCACCTTTACCCTCTGAGCCATCTCACCAGCCAATCATTAATTCTTTTGACTCCAGATAGAAAACCTGCATTAATGTTGGTTATATGCATAAGCATTCGAATATACACATATTGGTGCTATAAAAAATGTATTTTTGTACTTTGCGATAGCAATTTAAAACACCTTACGCTCCGGCCTGGAGAGATGGCTCAGCAGTTAAGAATGTTTATTGCTCTTCTAGAGGGCTGGAGTTCAGTTCCCAGCACCCATACTAAGTGGCTCACATTCTCCTGCAATGCCAGCTCCAGGAGATACGATCCCCTCTTCTAGCCTCTATGGGCACCTTCACTCATGAGCACCTACCTAGACATATACATAATTAAAAATATGAAAGATAAATATTTTTAAAAACAAAGCTATCTTATGCCTATTATCTGGCATGTTATCTGGTGAGCTGGTACACTGGAAACTAAAGACCTCGACCTTGCTGTCAAGCTATTACTAGGAGACTGGAAAAACTAGGAAGCAATACAGCTTCATGGAATTTGGAGTCAGAAAAAAAAATGGGTTTAGATAAAGGTTCTACCACTTACCATGCATAATTTTGAATCTGATCTCAAAGCCTTCCTTCTTTATGAAGCAAGAACACAGTAATACTTCTTAGAGATTAAGTGGGTTGAATAAACTCATGTATCTTTTACCCAGAATAATGTCATATGTAGTGATAAGGAAAACTATTCATGGAAAACACTACCTGGAGCCCCTAGTAACAGAAAGGCTTTAAAGGTGTCAGGGATTAAGTTAACAAGCTTACTAGCTTGGAAATCAGAAGATCCAAGTTTAAATAACAGCCTTGTTTTTTTTTTTTTTTTCTCACAAGCTATGTGACCTTGGTCAGTGTCCAACCTCTTTACACGTCAGCTACTTGTTTAACTGGTGGGTATCAATAGTATTAGTTACAATTTTTTAAGTACTGCTCATATTCATTGCAATCTGTTAGGTTTAGATACAGACTCCATCCAGTCTGTGGATACCCTCCGTGGTAAATATCCTTCTCTTTCTTCTGTAACTGGCTGAAGCGGAGAGAAGTCAACCTTCTTCAAGGCCACACAGCTATTTCCCACTCCTAGAACCTGACTCCACATTCAACCACATCTGCTGACCTGCCATCTACCTCACCTAGAGAAGATGAAAGGAAACTATTCCTTCAAGAGTGCTTCTTCAGTCGAAGAGTCCCAGACACAGCATTATGATGACCATCCTATCTAATGTAAGTGATCAACAAAAAGGGTTTGTGATTTTCCTTTAGTGCCTGGGATCCCTGAAAGATCAGTTACTTTTTTTTTTTTTTTTTTTTTTTTCGGTCTTTTTGAGACAAAGTCTCCCTGTAGCCCCAGCTGGCCTGGAACTCACTATGCAGACCAGGCTGGCCTTGAACTCACAGAGATCTGCCTGCCTCTGCCTACCGAGTGCTGGGATCAAAGGCGTGTGCCACCATGCCTGGCTCAGAGTTACACTTTTAAAAATTCTTTTCTTCCTGGAATTTTGCCTTGCTTTCGAATAGACGTGATAAACAACTAAGGGGAGGGAGGGAGGGAGGGAGGGAGGGAGAGAATTTTGTATTTGAATGTGGGAGTTTGGCCAAAGTGAGCAGCAACTACTCACTCACACAACTAATTAAGAAACAGATGTATGCAGGCCTGCGTATATCAATCAGAGACTGGTCTCTACACTCCTGAAGCCTGGGGCAGCAGAAGCTTGCATTTTTTCCTTGAAGTATTTTGTGTGTGTGTGTGTGTGTGTGTGTGTGTGTGTGTGTGTGTGTGTGTGTGTGTTGGATGAAGTCTCTGCCTGTCTGTCTCTCTCCCTCTCAAGCCTCTTACTGGCCTGAAACTTGCCAAGCAGATGAGGCTGGTTGGAAAGCCCCAGGGATCACTATTGGGTGCCAAGGCAACCATTGAATGGCTTTAAAAACCTGGTAGTTTCAGGAGTTTGAACTCAGAGCCTCCAGCTCTCAAAGCAAATACTTGATCCACTGAGCCACTTCCCCAGCTCCAAGCCATCACCATTTGCAGTTAGCTCTTTTGGGTCAACCCAAATCCCCACAAACTAGTGCTCCTAGATAAAGCCTACATCAACTGCAGGTCCAGATACCACAAGATCCAATTAAATGTCTCAGTCCCCTGTCAAAGGTAGATTGGAAAAGTGAAGCTAAACTCTTCCTTGAAGGCGGAATTCACTAGTTAGCTATGATTCTCTAGGTCATATGACCTCTTGGAATAACAGCCCAGCTTCTTTAACTTCCTGGAAATACCACCAAAGAGTTTCTTTCTGGGGCTGTTAGAAATGACGGTCAGTCTGGAGTCACCTGGAAGGCAATTTCATTTCTTTCCCCCTTACTCTGGGTGTCCCCGGGAGGCACTTCAATTTCTACCTTTCCTCCCCTCGACTGAGATCAGATTCCCAGAGCGACTCTCTTCCGCCTGCAGAGCGAGCCTGAGAGTAAAGTCCAGGTGGGTCGAGGGCCTTCATCCGCCCGGCCAGATCTGGACTCCCGGAAGGAGCTTGCGCACGTCCTGAACCCGGGACTTCTGCGGCAGCCTCCCTTCCCGCGGGAAGGCGAGCCGCCAGGCCCCAGCTTCCCACGGGCGGGACCTGAGCACGCGCGGCTCCATCCGCTCCGGGGACCCGGGACCGCTGCGCCCCGGCTAGGCCGACCTGCGCTCACCTCGGACCGCGCGATGTCGTACGCGTCCGCGATTCTGCCGTAGAGCTCGTGGATGCTGGTGAAATCCTCCACGCGGGCCGTGGCGCTGCCGTGCGCCAGCTGCGCGTGGAACACCAGCCTGCGCGCAGGGCCGGGGCCGGGGCCGGGGCCGGGGGCGGGGGCGGGGGGCCGGGGCTCGGCGTCCATCAGCCCCGCCGCCTCCTTGCACTTGGCCTTCTTCCTTCCGCGCAGCCCCAGCGGCATCCTGGCGGGCCGAGGCCGAGGGCCACCTGCTGCCCGCCAGCTCCGGGGCGCGCCGGACTTTGGGCTCGGGGCCGCGGCTCCGCGCAGGTGACCGCGGCCGCTGGGCCAATGGCAGCGGCGCTTCCGGGCCGGAGGCCCCCCGGGGTGGAGGAAAGCACCTGAGTCCCGCAGCCACCGCCCCCTGCAAGGATCTGGCGGAGGAAGTGTGTGCACAGCAACCTCAGCAAGGGTGAGGCCGGGGTAGGAGGACGGCCCAGGGGGTTCGAGGCCAGCCTGGGCTATAGGGTAAGACCCTGTCTCCACACACACACACACACACACACACACACACACACCACGAAAGGACACCTCCAAGAGCTATAACATTTGCAAGAAAATTAAAAAGTGGAAATGGAAAAATTATGCTAAGCTGAGTAAGCCAAGTTCAAAAAGACAAATATCACATGTTTCTTCCGTGTATGGAATCTGTGTGTGTGTGTGTGTGTGTGTGTGTGTGTGTGTGTGTGTGTGTGTGTTGAAAGGGGACTGGTGAGGGGAGGAAAAGTTCTTGGGGTGGACAGGGTGATGGAGACATGAACTCAGAAGAACTCTGTGGGGGAGGAAGGTGACAGGAAGTAGAAGAGGTGTAGAAACAAAACGTAATGACGTGTGAAAATGCCACAGAGAAACCCATTAGGCTGTACACTAACTTAAAAGAATAATTTTAAAATGTGTAGTAGGCACTGATTGCATTCAGTCACATCTCTTGGAACCCTAAAGTCTGTGCCTTTGCCATTTATGAAATAATGCTGATTTATATAGATGGCAGCCTGCCTCTGCCCTCTCTGAGCCTTACACACACCCATCAGGGCAGAATTGAAGGAAGCACATGACCTTGAGAGGGTGCTGAGTTCAAACTCCTCAGCCAAGCCCTCCGCAGCCCTCATTAGTACTGTTCATTTTCCCTGGACAACTTTCTCTCCCGTGTTTTCAGCACTCTCAAGTCCTTTACACCACCTCAGAGAATACTCGCTCCTACTCCAGAGAGAACTGAGGCCCTACAGAGGTTCGAGTGCCCTCTGCTCCCCATCCCTTCTGAGCAACTCCATTCACCTCCCTTCTCCAAGTTCTTAAAGCTTCTGCCTGATCCCGATCAGATCTCTCCGCTCCTCCAGGCTATTTTCTTTAAATTTTTTAGTGTGTCTATATGTGTGTGTGTGTGTACATGTTCTTGCATGTGAGTATAGGCACACATAGAGACCAGAGGACAACCTTTGGGTGTCAGCCAGTCCTCACCTTCTACCTCGTTTGAGACAAGGTCTCTTGTTTGCTGCAACTCTAGCTGGCCCAAGAGCTTCAGGGGATCCTTCTGCCCACTTCCCACCTCACAGGAGGTACATGCTACTATATCCACCTCCACAGAAGTTCCGGGGATCCTAACTCAGGTTCTCACACTTTTGCAAAAAGTACTTTACCCCACTGAGCCATCTTCCTAGACCCAAGGCTCGCTATTCTTTGTGTGTGTGTGTGTGTGTGTGTGTGTGTGTCTTAGTATGTTTCTTCATTGCTGTGACAAAATACTCTGACCAGTACCAACTTGGGGAAGGAAGGAAAGGGTTTATTCAGCTTACAACTCCTAGGTCGCAGTTCATCAGGGAGCCCAAGAACCTGGAAGCAGGAGCTGGAGCACAGGCCATGGAGGAACGCTGCTTACTGGCTTGCTCCCCTGGCCCCTGCTCAGCCTGCTTTCTTATGCAACACAGGCCCACCTGCCCAGGGGTGGCACCACCCACAGTTGGCTGGGCCCTCCCACATCACTTATCAAGAAGATACCCTTCAGACATGGTCACAGGCTAGTCTAAGAGAGGCAATTCCCCGATTGAGGCTCCCTCAACCCAGGTGTGTTAAGTTGACACTAAAGCTATCTAGTACAGTGTGTGTGTGTGTGTGTGTGTGTGTGTGTGTGTGTGTGTTACCTGCATGCATGTAAGTACATCCATGTCATGCAATGCCCATGGAGGTCAGAAGAGGACATTGGATTCCCCTGGAACTGGAGCTATGGATGGTTGTTAGCCGCCATGTGGGTGCTGAGAATCAACCCAGGTCCTCTGTGCTCTTAACCACTGAGCCATCTCTCCAACCCCAAGGCTCTCTATTCTTAAGCTACCTCTTCACTTCTTCCTCCACAGCTGGGACCACAGCTGGCCAGCCCCGTTACCTCCTAGTCTCTATCTTTGCTTCCCCTAGCTACAACTTTTTTACAGCCAGGCTGCATTTCCCCACTTACGTGTTGTTACAATCTGTCAGACCTCGCCCCACACTCTCCTAAGATTGTGCTTACTATCCAGTCAGCACCGCAGAATCAAACATAGCAAACTGTCTTCAGTCTTTACCCACCTTGAACTCTGATTGCATCGAACTGTGCTGGTCTTTTCATTCTTGCCTTTTCTACTCTGTGGACTTTATTTCCACCTCCACTTCTGCTAAACTGCTGCCTTCTAGGAAGTATTCCCCAGACGCCTTCCTTGACCAGTCTCTCTCTCGTCCTCGTGTTCCCTCTGAGTGGCTACTCTCTCACTTTCACAGATAGTGTTAACCAAACTCTCCAGGTGAGTCCAGTAAGGAGGGGTCAAAAGAAGCTCACGTTGACACTACAAAGCTGGCTTCATCCCTTCTCTTGGATGTATTTTCTCTTTGTGCCTCCTAAAGCAGACACACCTACCATGAACTTTGGCCCAGGTCAGTTATTCTTCAGTCATACCAAGCTTTTTCATCTCCTTTCACCTCTCACTTAAATTCAGTCCTGAAAATCCATGTTTCTTCAGTTAAGGTTAGCAGGTGTTCTGGGGCGGGTGGAGAAAGGAGTCTGAATTCTTTTTGTTTCTGTTTTCCACAAGTGTATTGCCTGCATGTATGTAAGTGCACTCATGTTGTGCAATGCCCACAGAGGACAGAAGAGGGTGTCTGATCCCCTGGAACTGGAGTTACAGACAGCTGTTAGCCACCATGTTGGGATTCGAACCCAGGTCTTCTGCAAGCACAACCAGTGCTCTTAACCATTTGAACCATCTCTCCGGCCACGAGTCTATGAATCCTTTAGAATAACTTTAAATTTTTGTTGTATGTTCCTGTAGCTTTAAAAGGTGATACAGGGCTGGGGAGATGGCCTGCCTGGCTAAGTGTTGACTCTGCAAGCATAAGGACCTGAATTCAAGTCCCAGCCTCCATGTAAAAGTCGTGGGTTTGTGATCCCAGGGGTGGGGAGGCAGAGAAAAGAGTCTCTGAGGCTTGTTGATCAGCTAGTCTCGCTAAATGGGCAAGCCTCTGGTTCAGTGAAAGACCCTGTTTCAAATATAAGCTGGAGAGGAAAACACCTGGCATTGACCTCTGGCCTCCACATGTACTCACACACACAGAGTGATATAAACTAACTATGGTTCATCTGAATGACTGTGAATCCAAGATTTCACCATGTGATCTCAGGACTAGAATTGGACTTTGTGACTATGATGTACATGGCATCAAGTAGTATTGTTTGGTCTTGGACTAAAGAGAAAAAAGAAAGGGAAGGGGGTGGCTGGAGAGTTGGCTCAGTGGTTAAGAGCACTGGCTGCTCTTATAGAAGACCCAGATTCAGTTCCTAGCACCCGCATGGCTTATATACAAGCGAGCCAATCATCCATGCACATAAAATAAAAATAAAATGTAACAAAGAAAGAAGAAAAAGAAAAAAGGAAAGAAGAAAATCTAAATAAATGCTACACCCCTTCAAGGAAAGCCAGAGAAGTTGTCAGGGCATTGCATAAAGAGTTCAGTGAAGTCTGATTAATCAAAGCAGGAGGATGAGTCATCCCAGGGTATATGACAGGTGCAGTATGATGATCTGAGAACATGTGGGAACACAGGGGGATTTAAAATTTAAAACTTCAAGGAGAAAAATGTGGAGGATTTTCTTTCCTTTTTGCCTCAAACTCACAATCCTCCTGCCTCAGCCTCTGGAATGCTGGAATTGTAGTGTTTGCTACCACACCCATCTAAGTGTGATTTTGACCTGTGTCCAACAAAATATGAAAGGAGGGCAAAAGTACTGGCATAAGGGGGGCTGGGAATGTAGCTCAGTTGGTAGAGCGCTTGCCTAGCACACACACAAATAAGAAATAGATGTAAAGGCAGAGGCAGGCGGAGCTCTGTGAGTTCAAGGCCAGCCTGGTTTACATAGCAAGTTCCAGGCCAGCCAGGGCTACAGGGAGACCCTGTCTCAAAAAGACCAAAAAAAATGTAATAATAATAAAAGACCCCCCCAAAAAAGAAATTTTAAAAAATTTAAATTAAGTGACTGTGGCTGTGGGAGTTTATTCCTGGGTATTATATTCTATTCTGTTGGTATAAATGTCTGTTTTTGTGCCAGCACCATGCTGTTTTGATTACTATGGGTCTGTAATATAATTTGAGGTCAGATATTGTGATACCTTTAGCATTGCTCTTTCTTCTGAGGACTGTTATGGCTACTCAGGGTCTTTAGGGCTTCCATATAAGTTTTAGGATTTTTTTTCTAGTTCTGTAAAAAATTTTATTGAGATTTTTATGAGAATTTCATTGAATCTATAGATTGCTTTCAGTAATGTAGCCATTTTCACAACATTCTGCAAGCGCTTGAATCAAGGGAGTGGTTCCATTTTCTAATGTCTTCACTTTCTTTTGTCAGTGTCTGAAGTTTTCACTTTAGAAGTATTGCCCTCCTTGGTTTGGTTTATTCCTGGTTAGTTTGTTTGGCAGGCTGGGTATTTGTTTGCTTGTTTTGAATCATCCCTGATTTCTTTCTCAGCAAGTTCGTCACTGCTGCAGAGAAACTACTGATTTTTGCGTGTGGATTTTGTATCCTGCTACTTTGCTGAAAGTGTTCATTGGGTCTAAGAGTTTCCTGGTGAAGTCTTAGGTTCATTATGCCCTGATTTTTTTCACACATAGTAAATTGCTGAATCTAACTAGACAGTCTTTGGTGGTAGAAAGGCTTCAGATTT